ACGATACAAGATGGCAAGACGTCACGATTGCAAAGAGATCAAGCGCAAGATCAATGTCATTTTCAACCCCATGTCTGAAAAAACATAGATTAGGCAATCATCATCAACAGCTTATAAATGCCCACTGCTGAGCAAAGCCTCTTCTCACATGGAGAAGGTTAGAGCAATAATCACCACGCTTGCTCAATGCGGGTTGGCGATTTCAAACTTATAATTAGAAATTATAAGCCCAGGTTTCCTCACGATGTTTTCCTTCACCGTTGGTCAGTGGTGTCTAAATAATCTTAGAAAGTACATTTAACTCAGAAAAAGTCACATTGGTACTTGCCGTTGGTAAGTTTCGAACCTGCACCCTCGTGCATGAGAAGCAGGTGTCTTCAACCTCCGGGCCACCACGACACTCATAGATCACGATTAGGCAATACAATATCCAAATTCTGGGGTTCTATGTATGTGTATTTTCTTCCAGAGTCTATGATCTCAGTCGTGTTTATAAGTCCAAAGGAATATGAGCTAATTACGTAGGTATATGAAATAAAGACTTTTGAATTATTTTTATCATTGTTACGAGATTAAATTATAGCTGGTCCTCTATTTGACTGTGTTAAATAAAATAAATTATAATGTAAGCGAAAGTAAACTGAGTTCACTTTAATGTCAAGCTTCTTTAATTATTTGCTTCGTTTAAATTTTAGTAATCTTCAGAATGTTGTCTCAAGTTTTTACCTATTTTAGCTTTCGAGACATTTTATGACGGCTCAATTCTGATATAAATTGTAAAATAAAATATTTATGAAAAGACATTTCATTACAACTAGTTTTACTTAAAAATTTTTGACTATTAAATTTGTACTATAAATTTTAGGTAAGTATTTAAAACAAATACGAAATTGTTACGAAAACTAATCATCACTCAATGTCTAATTAATTTTATTATAGCACATCAGATAGGTATATATACGCAGGTAAATGGAATTAATGAAAACAATTACTTAGTGGTGCAATTATAAGAATCAATAAACAAAAATAATTATGGCTAAGGACATAATAAATCACCAAAAGAGTCTACACAAAAACAACTGACTTCACACACAAAGGATAACAAATACACAAACCTCATAAACATAGTAGAATAATCAATAAACTTTCACAATACTTAATTCAACAGATTTTTAAACTGTAGATGCATGATATACAGATGGGACACCACAGACGCACATGCGAATTTTCTTTTCACTTAGTGTTTGTGTGAGCACATTTTGTTTCAAGCAACATTTTACAGTGTAAACGCCTTTAATTAATTTTAAAAAATATTAATAGTTCGGGAAACGACTATAAACCAGAAATGATATGGGAATGTATACAACTTGATGTATCGTAAGTGTCAATGTAGCGTTTATAAAGATGATTTATTAATAGACCCGGTGAGGGCGGCCCTGTCGTTAACATTGGGCGTCACGATCCAGGCATTCCAAGCATCATGCCATCATGACAGGCAGGAGCTACCAACTCGACTAATTGATTGAAGAACATCAATTATTAATTTTCGTTAGACATTTCTAGGTGGACGGTAATATTTTGTTGCTATAGATAGTTACTAATGAACTGAATGAATGCAGTTAATAATTAAATTCGTTTGAGATAAACTAATTTTTAGGGTAAAATAAACTGCGGATTCAAAAATAACCGTCTTTTACAATTATCATTAAATAGAGAAACGTCTTCGCTCAGAAACTCCATCTTCCTACCTTTCAATTTTAATCATACACTTTAATTTTAATCTTCACAATCCCACATCAATATAACCTAATAAAAGATCAGAAACTTAGCAGTGTTAATGACTAGACTGATAAGTGAAAAATACTCTATATTTTCGACATGGTCTTATTGCTGGGGCAAAGTCTCTTTTATATCTCATAAGGAGAAAAAGGATTGGTTACCGTGCTTGTTGAAGTATACTCGCGTTTTCAAATTTTCTTTCTTTCTATATTTGATGGGCCGACGTTTGACCGCAATCTCGCCTGGTGGTAAGCGATGATGCCGTCTACGATGGAACACGTCATCCTGTAAGAAACCTATTATCATATTTGAAAGCTCATTATTATTGTTAAGTAGGTTGATTGCAAATTACTATTTGTCTGCTACTGCAACTGCAAGTGCGACTGCCGGGCAAGGGGTCTCGGGTTCGATTCCCGGGTCGGGCATAGTGTTACAGGATTTAAAAATATCTCAGTAGTAGCACGGAGTCTGGAATTGTGCCCGGTATATGGCAATAGGCTCACCACCTATTACATGGGTCTCATAACATAAATAGTGAAAACTGGGTGTTACATTGGACAGTGGTATAATGCGCACCTCTGCCTACCCCTTCGGGGCTAAAAGGCCTGATGTTATGTTATGTTACTATTTGTTTAAACCGATTTTGAATACAGGGTCACTAGCTCACAGAGCAGTTATCGACTCTTAGATACAATCTGACATTTTTTAGCGTATTTCATATCTAGAATATAATCTTGGGATAACGTTTGGGATGAATACATCAACGGGGTAGATAGATTGAAATGCTCTACAGTTAATTAAAAGGTCGGTACTAAAATAACTTCGATCCGTTTATGAAAAGGTTGAGGGAAATGTCAGATATTTTCACATTTCAACATGATTGAATTTATTTATAAGAGTGCTAACAAAAATATATAGAGGTATAAGACAATAGTATCTTTATGATAATGTTATGTAATATATCTAGACTGTAATATTTTATCCGAGTCTACGGCGCGTCGCGTTTCGCGCGCGCCTCAAAGAGCCATCAGACCACCACGGATTAGGCCCAATAGGGCTAATGCCGATTCGAAATCGCGGAGAACCTCATAGGTTACCGGGCCTCAGGCTCGAAGTGCAGGAGAAGGAACAATTTTGAAAACATTTTGAAAAAAATTATGTGATATGGTAGTAAGTACTACCGTATACTATTATAAATAAAAAAACATACCAATGGAAATAAGATTTAAACTTGATTTGTGTATATAATACATATCTGTGCATATTAAAAAATGTTTATAAAATATAGTATAGATGAATGGTGTTAGTAAAGTTGTATCATTAAGTTACATGGAACCCAATTATGATCGGAACTCGAACCCACGGTAGCCGACTTACCCTTTATTTGCTATACCCGGCTGTACTGTTACTTTCACACTCCAATATTAATTGAATCGAATGCTCCAAGTTCAACCAATAGTCTATTAATCACCTCTGTTTATTAGTAGACATATTGTGATACACATGATGTTGAATTGTTGACGATAACAGTCGTTATTTTGAGAAAAATAACACATAAAATGTTGCCATACTTATGTCATTTTTTAATACAGTTGGGATGCATTTCGACCATGCAAGTAAAGCTGGGCTTAGGTATAACTCTCAATCTGTCTACCTCTATGTCTATAACTTGAGAATTTAATATCGTACTGAAACTTTTCTGATAATTACAACTTAAAGTCATAAATTAATCACACAAATCAAATATGTACAAATATGTATATCCGAGTAGCTTTATTCAATAAGGCTTCGCTCAAATCATACCTTCTCGTGGCTACAACTTGTATGCAAGACGTGCCGCAAAATAGAAAATCACCTGTCACGTCAAGCTGTCTTCAAGAAAAAGGTGCTCTGACATCCGGACAGACGGTAGAATTGGTTCCATAAATAGTTGGAATTTCCAAAGTTAGCAGATTTTTCCAGAGACTTGTACCTTGTACCTTTTGTAAAAATGCCATTGTTAACAAAAATATTGGCAGGTGACAGTTTTATTGAGTGCGAATCTAAACCAAATATTTTTATTTCGATTGCGAAATGTAGGTAGGGACACCGCTATATGTAATAATATATGTAATGAATACAAATAATGTAGAATAATAGTAATTGGATAATAGTAATAATTTATCTATATATTAATAATTAAAAAAAATATAAATAAGGCACACAAACTTTTTTGTGTTCATGTTTATACTTCATACGAAAGGTCAATAACCCGTAAACTTAGAAAACTTATTAATTAAAAATTTGATAGAACAGATAAGGTCTTATTTATCTAATCAATATCGGTTATAAGACGGTTACCAAACCAAAACAGAATGGTATTCGGATTGAGGAAGCAACCAAATTGTAAGTAAAGGCATCGTGTTACAAAATATCTCTTTTACGACACCTTAGGGAAGAATAAGGAAGTTAATTTAGTATCTTAATTGCTCGAATTATTACTACGAGTTAAGTACCGAATGTCTCATGTTACCTGAGCAACAATAAATTTACACAACAATAATTTTATCGTAACTTTAACGTTGAGTTGGTATTATGAAATAATAATAAAATATTAGGGTAGTCGATTTCGTATTACTTGTCGTTAAAAAAATTTTGGTCTACTGTTACTGGCGAACACAAAAATCAACGAAGTGGTAATTCGCGGTTTCAATTTATTTTGTCTGTGTTTTCGAAAGCTAGGCACCTCATACCTAATAAAAGTAACTAAAATACCTGTTTATTAAGTTGCAATGTCATACGTATTAGAGAAAGCATTTACATCTTCTCTGCAAATATAATAGGTATTCTATCTAATTAAATAGAAATAGTTTCGTTTGAAGTTAGTATTCTTTTGAACCAGCGCTAATATGAAAATGTTTTACCATTTATTTCAGTTTCAAAGGAGTCTAGCTTTTGTTTAGATATTCAGTAAATAAAATGAGTTCTTTTGTTTATGTTTATTACTAACTTTATGGTGCTGCTACGTTTGTACAGAGTACGGTTAATTGGTAGTTTATAATGATTTAGAATCCCATGTCTGCTCTATAATAAATGGTTGAATATATAAAAAAATATTAATATGTTCATGATCTGTCCAAGAAATTCGTGACGAATAAATCTGTCACCGATAGGTTGGCGATCTCTGAACTATTCCACCCAGGCGGAACTAAGTCGATCCGGAGTTATATAAACGGACTACGTCTAGATAGACTGAATCAATTCCTGTTACATTACCTGTTAGACTTTCAGTGCGATTGTGACAACAAAATATAATGGTGGGTGCAGTGAACATACGGACTTTTCACAGTTTGTTTTGTAAACACAATAATGTTGTTCAGTTATTTATTAATACTTTTCTTTTATTTCATGCGTGGTCTTCAGGAGGAACTTGACAAGAGTCAGATCCAGCGTAAGTTTTTATTTGTTATATATAATTGCAATATAATCTATGAAATATGAAATCTATTGAGTTTAAACATGTTCCAAATAAAATGTATCATGATATGCAGACAACTAAAGGCATTTACTTAATTGCTTTTAAAGTGTTTGTATCAAATCACAAGTAATAACAGTATATAGCAATAGGTTCAATCCCTATTACATGGGACTCATAACATAAATAGTGGAAAGTAAGTGTTGCATTGTACAGTGGCATTAAGTGTCGTAATGTGTACCTCTGCCTACCCCTTCGAGGATAAAGGGAGTGATGATGTTATATAACAAGTAATGATTATATGTATATAGGTATTAAAATGACTTAGTACCTAATAATAAAGAAGGTAGATCGTAAACGTGAATTAGTGTCGAGTGCGTTAAAAAATGGCGTCGAGTTAGTGATAATGTTCGAACTTGTTTCCTATTTCATACCATAAAATAAGTAATATTTTTTTCTTTGGATGCAGTTCTGCAAAATGCCTTCGATGCTTTCGATCATGAAAAGAAGGGAGTTATCAGCACAGACATGATTGGCACGATCCTGGAAATGTTAGGTCATGAATTGGATGAAGATACCCTGAAAGAAATTATCACTGAAGTTGACGTCAACGGTGAGTTGAATTACCAATAAAAGCCTGAAATAAGTTAACTATCCTTACATTACATCCAGAAAATAATCGGTTCTTTATTAACTCAACTTTATGTCATTCTTTGTCCAAAAATATATTGTAGGAATAAAACACCTTAATGTTTTGTTGGTGTCATATCTTGCATCCACATCATTTTGTTGTGTCTTCAGTTATCCTTATAATATATTATACCTGTTGGTTAAGTTAAATAACAGGATACAAACTAATTTCAGAATGCATTTGTGAAAATTTTTTGACAAAAATGTAAATTTCACACAAATATCACCCAACATCGTAGATGGCGCCAGTAGTATTTATAGGTAGTGCGCCATCTTGGTAACTAGTATGTATTCTGTACGACAGATGGCGTTGTAATCAAAAATGTATGCACGTCACTCGCCATATCAAAATTTATATAATTTATATGAGACGCATAATGTAATATACAAAATGACATATTATTATTTTCTTATCAATATTATTAGGCGATAAATAATGTCCCTGAAAATATGTAATTATTTTATAAATTGAAGTTTTCATTACCTTGTTTAGTGGGAATGTCTATATAAAAGTAGTTTAACTATTAAAATTTGAATTAAAAAATAATAAAAAAAAACTAAAAATAACAAAACCAAAAAATAAGCCTCACCGTGACAATGTTTTCACATTGCCGTGACCAGGATTCGAACCTGGGTTACTACGGCCACAACGTAGGGTCCTAACCACTAGACGATCACGGCTACCGAGGCATGTCAATAGAGGACGAAAATAGTGTACACGTTCAACGCAATAATTTGTTTATATCTCTGTGACGTCATTGTTGTTTACAGGAACCGGTGAACTACAGTTCTCAGATTTCTGCGCATTAGCTGCTAAATTCTTACAAGAGGAGGAAGACGATGAAGCTATGCTGAAGGAGTTGAGAGAAGCTTTTAGGTTATACGACAAAGAAGGTAGGAAACAAGAAGGTTATATTATATTCCTCTAAGTGCCAATTTTTTGATCATTAGTTTTCTTGTTTTTCTTGATTGGCAATCGAGTATTCATAACTGTAGAATAAAATTGCTATTTGACAGTTTTTTCTTATGGAAGAATTGTGAAATATTCAAAGACATTCCTGAGTTAAAATTTATCTGGCGTTGGAAAAATCGGCGCTAAGTTTACTAAAAAATATTTAAGTAGAGGTACTTACATAGTAGATTCTATTAGTGACTATATATTTTTTTAATCGTCAGTAATAATTATACCTATACACTGATAATTATCAATGAGATACCTATATATTTACACAATATTATACTTTTAAGGAAACGGCTACATCACTACAGAAGTGTTAAAAGAAATCTTCAAGGAGTTGGACAACACCATTACAGCTGAAGACTTGGACACCATGATTGATGAGATTGATTCTGATGGATCAGGAACTGTGGACTTTGATGGTATGTCCGATAACCTTAAAGCTATTTTATTTTAATTATAACTTTAACCCTAAATGAGAACAGTTACTCATGTTTTTACATGCTGTAATTTTTTTAAGAACACTTCAAAGTTGAATTTATATTCGAACTGATAAAAATATATGTTTTTATTGAGTGACTCTACAGTGTTTAAAAGAGCAACTTATTGCGCAGTTTAATTTGTTAGGTGCATGTGGTATTATATTAATAGGTGTATAGTTACTCTTTAAAAGCCAATTAATTAAAATAGAAGACTCTTGTGTTAAATATAACTTAGAAATATGTAATAGTTTTGTCTAAACAGACTTGTGACTTTATCAATTTATTTTTGTTTCAGAATTCCTTGAAGTAATGACAGGAGAATAAATGCAACATCATCAGAATTATAGGATAATATTTATAAAATTGTAAATAAAAAGTACCTAATTATTAATAGTTATAAGTAAACTAGATAAGACAACGACGGAACACTGTTATAAATGCTTTTGCTATGAAAAGAAACTATTATTTCATTACCAAAGGCTTGCTATGTGTTTCGAAAACCAAAGATCAATTTTAACTAAATAAGATAAATAGCTGCGCGCAGTATTTTTATTAAAAGCAAGTATTAACAAAAATTGTTTTCTTTCTATTTTCCTATCCCTAAATCACGACATCTAGTGGATATTTGAAGAACTAATAAGGCTGTAGTTACTTGCACTTTGTTTAATACCTACTAGGTGACGCTGTCGGATTATAATCCGTACAGGTTCAGGTTAATAAAAAATGTAGCAAAATGCATAGATTTTATTATATTAGGAACAAAATAGTTTATGACTCAATATAAGGTTTTATTTAACATAATAATGTGATGAAACAAAACTCAAACATTAAAACATCAAACGCCTCTACCAGAAAAGAATGCAACCATTCAATTTACTGCAATTAAAAAATGTAAGCATGATTAGTTTTATCTACAGTCACCTAAAAGATCATCATCATTCATCGCCAGGAATGGGGCTTACAGTAAGAAGAAAAGTAATTTGTTGTATTGCCTATGATAAATGCTTAAGATATACCTATCGTAATAAGTGAGTTGATAGGTGATTATTTAAATACTATGTATAATGTATTGAAACTTTATTTATATCATTTATAAGACAGATAATAAAATATTATTATAGTCTAGACCTCGAAATTATTGTATAGGTATGTAAAACTTGATAATAAATAACAGCCTAAGAAATTAAAACTGGTAGCATTAATGTAGGTCAGAATTCAAAAAAACAGGTCCATTTTCGAATAGTTTTAAAATGGGGTCAGTAACATTTAAAAATGTTGTTGGCCCCAATAATTCAAACTTATGACGTCATTCTATAAATATTGGACTATGTTTCTGAATGGAGCTCTATGACGAATGGAGTTTTCTAAATAAAATGGGGTTAGGTATTGGTAAAATAAAGTGTTAGATCGGAACAGAGCTGAACGTAACTGTGAACACAATTTCTTCACTAATTGTATAACGTTCTGAGGCAATGGTTTTACTTTTGTTTAGTTTACGACACAAAGCAGTAAACAGTACTGTTACAAGTGTCGCTGTAATCAACTAATTTAGATCATTTCACATTAACTACTTTTACCTACAAAATAATGGGACACTTCCCGTACTTTACGTCTGATTTGTTAACCAGTTTAACAATATAAACTGCTGATTGACGTTCTATTATAAACTGTTCATCTTATGAATAGAGGGTGACTCTATCTTGTACTAGTTTATTTAAATGGATGATGTGAACACAACATGTGGCATGTAGCCAACGATACATGAAAATATGTTATATATATATGTTATATAAGTATCACAATAAACAATTTAATAATGGTTCATTGAAACAATAATGCAGCGATGTACATAATGCGTTTTATAATAATTGATGCAGTGACAATCTTACAAAAGTAAACGCTATTTTGATAGTTTTTTTTTATATAAGAACTATTAAACAATGGATAATAACCCCAATTATTTTATTATTCGTGGTCGCTATGGGAGTAGACATAGACTGTGGTCTATACGTAGGTATGGGAGACAGGCGTGAAGTTATGTATAGACGTATGTAACAAAATAATGTTTTTGACAGTTTACAAACACGCATGTTGCTGCTGATGCAAACTCTTTACATATAGCACTTATACAACACATATTTATTTTTACACTACTGTGACAAACACAAAACAATAACACGATACGAACGATTGAATTCTTGGCAATCTAGATGACACATTGACAGTTGACTCCCTCTTTGGCCCAATAACAAGTTCCGCTGTCGCGTGAGGCTAGAGGTCGTGCCAGCCGTAGGGCATTGAAAAGGTCACTCCGATAGCACAGGTAGGTTTGAACTGATCCAATTCGAAAGCCAGAAGGTCTCCATAAACGTCATTATGATTATAAATGACATACATAATAAATTAAGTCGTTCTGTCTCTGGCATTAATTTACCGAAGAAGGTGGAAGCTATCGTTTTCTTTTCTCTTCTTATAATATCTTCTGATTTATTTCTTTGAGGGAGCCAAGTTATTAATGACCCTGAGACGCGCTGGACTGCAGTGTTCCGGTGTTTTCATCGTTGTATCTACTCTAGATCCTGGCTTACAGGAGTTACAGTGGCTTTGTTTGGCGGGCATGTCAGCAAAAAATTCAATAGTATAGGTACAGATATTCGCCATTTTTCATTGCAATTACTGGGTAGAGCCGAATTGTAATTAAAAAAAAAGCAAACAGAAATTCTTTATTATGATACCTGCATACTAAATTGCAGTGGAAACGGTACCTATCTGGGTGTGTATTTTCTAATGACACCATGAATATCGAAATCTCTGGGTTAATTATTGTGAAGTTTAAATTTAAAGCAATAATTTACGACAAGAATTTATTATGTAATATGAAGTTAACCTCTATATAGTAATGAAGGGAAACTCGTCATTATCTCATTAATTAACCATGATGGAAAAGCCATGCGATTTTGACACCTCTCTAAATATGTCATAAGTAAGTAAGATTAATAATACTTCCGTTATATTTCATACATATTTAATGAAACATTATTAAGTAACATTTATAGTATATTATGTGAAATTTTCAATAATTATTTACAAATTTTTCTTTGACATAATAGTACATACATACTATTTTTACCATAATGTTAGATATTCTGGCGACTAGCCAGGAAAATGAAACGGATAGATAACTAGAACAGTCCACTTCAAATAATGTCGTTTGCAACATAATTCTATTGCAAACAACCAATTGCTTTGAATTGCTACGTACGTGACCAGATAGGCTATATTTTAGAACCTACACAAAAAAGTTTAGAAACAAACACTTCGTGGTTGTCCTCGTTCACGTAAATACGTATTTTGTTTTTACATGCTATATTGATATTTTCACCCAGTCATTTACATTGAGTTACGTATTACAGCTACTCAAATATAGTTCCAGCTCTATATTATATTAGAGTTAAATTTCAAATCTTATTATCATTATCATTCTACTATTATATTTCATAGAAACCAAATAATTAATTGTTTTAACTTATAGTGGATACTAAGCCGATAGCTGATTTTCAGATCAACTACTTAGTTATGTGTAAAAAATACGTTTCTGCGTTGCTGAAAACCAACTTGATAACTTTGGACCAGGGACAAAATGTTAGTAATACTTATCAGGCCAATCAAAGGTAAACCCATAGAATTTATTGTTAACCATATACATCATTTACCAACCTATCTATTCGCAAATTGCAAAACTTGGCTCAGGAATGAAAGCCCAACAAGATTAATGGTTCATTACCTTCAACTAGCAACATATTAGGGCTCGTTTGCGGTTCAATTCCCATCTCAGTACATTTTCTTCCTGCTACCTAGAGCTCGTGTGATTGATATTACAAGACGGAAATTGCATTCACAACAATTTGTGCCCGTAATTTTGTAAATTAAGCTGTTATAAAGACATCGTTATATGCATGTGTTTATTATCATAACTTACCTTAGTTGACTCGTAATTTTAACTTAATTTAAAATAATTGTCATATAAACATGCTGTAATGATTGGAGACAGATACGAATGTGCTGGTTCAATTTTAAAGTATGCAGTTGGATAAAACGCGTGACGTGAAACAAATATGTTGGTCTTAGTACTTATAACGTAGTCCATTTTATGATTATTGAACTATGTGCCTAAGGAACAAGCAGGACTTTACTATGTAGGTACCATTATTAACTAACGATGGATGCAGGAGGACTTAAAACATTTCTACGGACTATGCTAGAGGCTGAACTAGTCGCTACTACGGGAAAATGTTAAATTCTCTCGTTTCGAGTTCAGTAAGTGTTTTTATACATTTTTTTTTAATCCAAAGTCCTTTTATTAGTCATATTTGTCATCTAAATCAGACTGTATGCTAATTGTAAACCACATATTTTTGTTGAATCATATTACAAATTCTAATTAAAGTTTATCGCTCCCATTTATTTTATTGCTCAACAAACATCAAGTTTTCGAACAAATATTTATACATATAAATTAATTCGAAATTCATTAGTGATGCAATTTGTCTTTACATGATCTTTAAACCAGAATCTTTGTGAATGTACCGTTGACTTAATAGTTGACATAGATTAATTGTTACCAAGATAACAGATAGATAACTAGGACCTGTCATCTGTGGCAATTTACATGCAAGTTTGTTGTATTGAAATATGAGGCTAAATAATTAAATCTTAAGTAGTTACTCTGCATTCCTTATTTCGTATTATAATTCACAGTTAATAGTAATTAAAATTGCAATTTTATATGGGTTTACACAGGTGCAACTGTCACTACAGCAGTTAAGTAATTAACATAAAAATTAATCTCATAAAATGATTTTACGACTAAGTAGTCAGTCTCCGACTAGGTTTTACCATAACCGCAAAAACCTTGGGTTCACGTCAAGAGTAGATAGGTACCTACTAATTATGTTCTGCCCCCACATGCTTTAAAACTTTCAAGGAAATATTTTTTTTATGTTTTATAGACAGGCACTTCCTGCACAAAAATAAACAATATCTATAAATTAAAAAAGTTTTTTCTTTTTTGTCTGTGATATTTCACAAAAACCTAGTTTAAATGAGGAAAGGTACGCGAAAAGAAATGCCGGTTAATTAAGAGAGAGAGATGTATTTCCCGAAAGGAATAACCTGGATGACGTCAAGGCCCGAGTGAATAGGTTGCTTTTGGGGTAGACGTACTCTGTTGTAGGCCGCATTGTCGTTTATCACATACCACCGGGCTAGATAGTGGCCAAACGTCGACCCATCACATATATATACAGAGTGTAAACGAAACGCTCCGGAACGCTGACAAAAAAGAAATATAACATCATAACGTCACTTTCGCCTTTTATCCCTGAAGGGGTAGGCAGAGCTTGCCCGGCAGTCGCACTTGCGACCACTTGACCAACGAGGCAGACAAAAAGAACTACTTTTTACAATTTTAGCCGTTTTTATTTTCGTGTTAATCTTACAACTACTATTACATAGTAAAAATGTCCCTTACATTTAAGTCCTTATTTTTATGAAAATATAACATTTTTTTACTGTA